CCGAACGGTCATTCATTGTCCCTGGGCGTGTGGCAGAATACGGAATTCGTGGTGAGAAGTCTGCTTGTTGCGTTGTTGTTGCTGTCGTCATCGTCGTCGTTATGGTTGTTGTTGTTGTTGTTGATGATGTTGCTGTTGCTGTTGCTGTTGTTGCTGCTATGTTTGATGTTGGTGCTGTTGAATGTTAATTATTGAACAAGTATTCTTGTTGGACCCCTTAAAGGCGCTTCGACGCACTCCAAGGTAAAACGGGAGGAAGGCTCGAGCGGGAGCGCTGGTTTTATTAGGACGGCGGCTTTCGGCGGAGAGCAAGAACACCAGCCCTCAGTAGAAAAGGGGGAAGTCTCGAGCGGGAGCGTTGTTGTTGTTGTTGTTGTTGTTGTTGTTGTTGGGGGGCCGGTTTTGGCGGTCCCCCAAACCGCTCGAGCGTGAGCCTCATTCTCAATGGAAATGAAACCTGGCGCCTCGGCTCCCAATTGAGCCCCAAGAGGAGCCTAAAAGGGATGAACACCGAGGCTGAAATGAGGGGCCTTCGTCGGCACTCAGATCGGTCAGGCAGTTGCCACGACGGACAAGGACGGCCCAGAGTCACCCCCAGATGTTCGCCAGGCGTCTTTGAAAGCCCAGACGGTCTTTGGAAGGCCCCAAGACAGACCAAGCAGGCTGCAAACGGACCTGTTGGCATCTTGCCTTTTCTGATGCCTGATGTTTTAGGCGACCCCAGGAGCTCCTCAGGCCGCCCCAAGACGGCATGCGATGCCTTCAAGAGAGCTCCAAGACTGCTTCAGAGGCATCCAAGGCTTCCCAAGAGGCCCCCATGACTCATGACTGTCCAAGAGGCCTCGAAGAGGGTCCGAGGGGTGGTCGAAGGAGAGGGGACCCGAGGCCAGGACAGACCCGGGGCGATCCACGCTGACGCCCCACCAGACCGACAGCCGCAGGCCTGCACGTGGAGGACATCTCAGGCGGGGGCCTCGCCCCCGAGCGAGTGGGGAAGAGGTCTCAAGCAAGGCCCTCTCCTCTTCCTCTTCCTCTTCCTCCTCCTCCTCCTCCTCCTCCTCCTCCTCCTCCTCTTCCCCCTCCTCCCCGTAGCCATTTGGGCTCAAGTTCGAAACGTGTGCCCCTGACGTTTCGAACTTGGACGGTGCCGAGGGGTGGCCGAAGCGTCCCTTCTGAGGCCAGGCCTCACACATTTCCACGATTCCCCGCATCACTCCAGCCCCACCTTCGCTTGCCGCGATGACCAAGAGGCGTGGAGAGCGTCGCTCCGCCGAGGACGCGCCCGCGAGGTGCGACTGGAGCCCTGCTGCAGCGGGGCGTCCGGAGAAGCAACTGCCCCGTCGTCGCTCGCCCAGCTCCTGTTCCCCAGCTCGTCGCGGTCGGAGTCGCAGCGAGGGGTTGAGCATCCGCAGTTCCGACGACCAGAGCGCCCAGGAGCGAGCTCGCGCGCCAGACGTCGCGCCCGGCTGGTTGTCAGAGCCCATGAACCCGGCGAAGGACACGAACAAGAACATCGCCAAGCTGAATGAGGACATGCCCCAGGAGATCGATGGGTTGCGTTTTGCCTTGCACGTCCACGATCAGAACGTGCAGTCGATCAACGCGAGGTTGACCAAGGTCGAGCAGAACAGCGACGAATCCATCCGCGCTGCCGTCGCCACCGCCATCGACACAAAGCTCGAGGTCATCAGCGCCCAGATTGATGTACTGCGCCGACAACCTCCACTTTCCTCAGCGGCCAGCAGTGGGTCAAGCCGCACGGCTCCGACGCCCATGGCAGGTACCAGCATGCAGGTCAAGACGACTGACGAGCGCAAGCGGTGGGTTGGCTCTTCCCCGAGGTCCTTGACGAGAGGCCAGCGCGAAGCCCACTGGAACTCCATCAAGGGTTATCTTCCATCTTCCTTACGCGAACGCGTGCAACCTCAGTTTCATGGCGTGGCCAAGAGCTACGTGCTTGTGTTGCTCACGCCGTCTGATGATCGCAGTCTCTCCGGCTCGCTCCGCTCCCTGGACGTGATCTGGGTGGGCCCGAGGGACCAGGGCCGCCATCAAGTTCGAGTTCGACAGGACTTGCCGCTCGACGTCAGGCCCCCGCAGCGCGCGGCGAGCTCCCTCTGGGCTGGCGCCCTCGAGCTGCTGCGCAAGTCCAACCACCCCCCCGACGGGTTCAAGCTCGGCGCGAATGGGTGCCAGGGGCTCATGCACCTCACCAGCGAGTCCGAGGTGTGGGAGCTGTTCCAAATCAAAGGGTCCGACGTTGCCGGGCGGACCTTCGGGCCCGTCTCCAGCAGCTGGCGCGCGTGGAGCGTCCAGGACTCAGACGCCCAGGCCCTCGTCACTCGCGCGACTGGCGAAGCCCGTGCACTTTGACAGGCGCTCGATCGAGAACGCCATCTGAGTCGCGCAGATCTCCAGTCCGCCGATGGTGAGGCGATGGGAGCATCGCACAGGCGATGCGACACCTCTTTGTCTCAGCCTTTTGAGGATTATATGTCCGTCCCTCTGCTGCCGCCTGCTGCAGTGTCTCTCTGCAGTAGTTCATCTGATGTAAGCTCAGACTCAGATTCTAGTTGTAGTGTGTCTAGTTTCAGCTCATCTTCCGCTGGGCCCCCAGGAGAGTTCACAGCCCCCCTCTTTCCCTTCCCCCCCCTCTCCGTTGGTCTGGAAGTGGGCACTTGGAATACTGATACCTTGCCTGGGGGTATCTGGGGCGATCATGCCCTTCAGAGACGTACTCGTACTTCCTTCAAGTATCTCACTACTAAGTGCGATGCTCTCCTCCTCCAGGAAGCCCACGGGGCGAACGGAGATCGCGACGGGCTGCGACGTCTTTGCCCTAGATGGGTTCTGAACGGGCACCTTTTTTTTCAGGATCGCACCGCGGGTGGCTCCGTCGCCATGGTCTTCCGCGCATCGCTGAGCGTTGCATTTTCGTTGGCTGGCGCACTATCAGAACGGGAAGAGCGGGCCGCCTCGTCCTCCGAGGTGTGCATGGAGCGCTAGATGTCTACAACCCTCATCGTGATCATGATCTCTCTCCAGCTAGTATGAAACAGCTGTGGCTTGCTGTGAAGCGTCGCATTGCCCTTGCCACTTCTGATACAAGCATCCTCGGTGGTGGCTTTAACTTCGAGGAGGCGGGGGAAGGGCAAACTACGCGTGAGCAATTCAAGGTTGGAGTTTGGGCCCGATCATCTTGGGGGGCTATTTCAGCAGACGCCCCCACGGTTCATCGAGGTTTTCCAAGACGAGTTGACTCGCAAGCGAGTCGTTGGAGGGACGGTTGTCTCTCTGGGGCGCATGGGCCGCCTGTGCTTTACTACCCCCACTTGTCAGCTGTTAGACCTCGCACCGACTACTGGCGTCTTTTGGGGAATCACCCAAGAATCTATTCCGAGCGACCACGCGGCGGCCCTTGTCTCTCCGCATGCTCGCGCGCCTCCTATTCGCCTGTCCGTCCCCAGGTGGGCCGCCAGAACAGAGCTGCTCAAGGAGGCGATCTGCTCACTGCGCGAGGAGATCGACTTTTCGCCCCCCGCCCCCTTCAAAAACACGCTGAAATCGAAGAGCCCATCTACGAAGCTGCTCGCCGGGCCGAGTTTGCCTCGGAGCTCGTCGACCCCCGCCCCCCCGAGGAAGAACTTTCCCGGCGACTTGCGCTTCTCCGAGCCAACGGACATCCTGAACCCGAGGTGGTCCACCGCGGTCTGCGCGCACACCTTGTCCTTCGCGAATTCTTCTGCGAGGACGAGTTTAAGTGGTTGGACGCTTCCGGCATCTGCGAGAAGGTCGGCGAGATGAAGAGGGGGCAGGATGACGCGGAGGAGAAGGAGGTTAATAATGACAAGCAAGCTTCGCAGATTGTTCAAGAGCGTAGGATTGCCTAGCTTCGAGAGCTCTCGGCGGCATGGGCACCAGCGCACCGCCGGCTGCATCTAAAGGCCGCCGTCGACTGCAATGGGAAAGCGGTGGAGGGCCCCGGCACGGGCGGGACAATCCCGGATGAGAACTCGGGGGAAGTGGCCAGAGAGAGGGAGGTCAGGGAGGATGAGTTCGCGCGGATCGACCCGTTCATTCAGCCCTGCAGCCCGTCGACGCAGTGGAAAATCTGCTGAGAGGTTTCACGAGATCTTGAGTCGCCGCTCTGACAGCACGCCTGGAGTCGATGGGGTACCCTATAGCGCGCGCAAAGCTGGTGGCTCTTTTTGTTGCCGATGCTCTCTACTCCGTCAACTCCTACCTCCTCGACGGCGGGGCCCCCGATAACGAGTTTAACCATGCCCTCTCTGGCCCCCTCCCCACAGGCTCGGATGGTCCTCGGAGCACTGGCGGCGACCCCAATGGCAAAACTCGCGCTGCTTCGTCTGCGCGCCCCCATCGCTCCTTCTAACACTGACGACGCAATTGTGGCTAGTGCGATGACGGCCGCCCTCGTGCACACTGCAAGCTAGTACGTTGATGAGTGTCAGACTGCGCGCGCCCCTGGGCGTCAGATGATGGGACGCGCGATTGAGCTAGACAGTCAGTCTGCAATCGAACAGGCCGTCAACTATGAGCGCGCTGCTGGCGCCGCCTTCATTAATTTGTCGCGCGGCTCCCCCCTCAGTTAGCTGGAAGCTGATGCTGATGCGGCTCTCCCCTCCTTCTTCATCGAAGCCATCTTCTCTCTCTACACCAACCTCAAAATTCTGGTGAACTTTAAGGGCACTAGCGATGCGTCATACAATATGGGGAGAGGGCTGTAGCAGGGGTGTCCGATGAGCGGGGTCATCTCCATTCTCGTCGCCGACCCTCTTGTCCGCTTCCTTCGCCGCTCTTTGCTGCCGAATGCACCTGCTCGGTTGTCTGCGTTTTGCAGACGATTTGGCCATGTGCTCCATGTGCATCTTTAGATCCCTGACCATCTTGATTGACGGGCTGAGATTCGTAGGCGAGATCTCGGGGCCCCTGGTTCACCCCTAGAAGTGTGTGATTGTGATCCCCTACGAATTTGATGAGCTGGGTCTCAGACTAAGTTCCCGGGGCACGGGCCCGACGTAGGCACCTTCGAGCTTGGCGCTAATGGCAAGTACCTCGGGGTCTTTGTGGGCCTCGGAGGTCGGGAACTGTCTTGGGCTAAACCCCTCTGGAGGGCTTATTGCACGCGCTCGACGTACCAGAGCCCTGGGCCTCAGCTTCACCCCCAACATGATCGCGCATAATACACACGCGATCCCCGTCACGAGTCATGTTGCACAGGTTCATGCACCGACTCAGGAGGTCTTGAGGTGTGAAGAGCGAGCGTTACAATTGCTTACTGCCGCCCCGACGAATGCCACGTCCACCCTCCTCCTCCTCAAGAACCTCGCCCCCGTGGGTGTCAAGCCGGCCCTGAGCGACCTTAAGGGTTCGAGCACTGCTGCTACGCATCGCCTGGTGGCGCGGCCCATTGCTCTCAGGCGCGTGGAGACGCGCTTAGAGGATATCATTGCTGAGGACGAACACGTCGTCGCCTATCCGTGGATCCCCTTGTTCAGGGACTCTGTTCATGCACGCATGAAGCGAATTGTCAGCGTCGTTGAACAGATCCCTGGGGAACCTCAAGAGCCTCTTGCATCTTGTTTCGAAGCAAAAGTCAAGCGTGCCGTTAGGCAGTTCTTCGGTGCACGGATCCCGAGCTTCCAGGTGATGATGAGATCTCGTCTCAAGAGGTGGGTCCCGGATAGCTCCCCAGAAGACGAGCTTTTATGGTTCATCCGCATCAACGTCGTCGCCAAAAAATTGCCCGTCTGCACTCTTGCCGCCTATGCCAAGACACCCTGCAATGTTTGGAACACTATTCAGAGACATGGGTCGGGGATACAGAGATGCAGGATGGGGTTTCGTGCTGTCGGGAGAGATCTCGCCCGTTACATGCGATGCCCATCTCTTCAAGAAGTGATGTCTGAGGCCCTCCCTGAGCCCCCCCCCCCCCCTCCTGGGACCCAGCTAATGTTCCTCTCAGCTCATCCTGTCTAGGTGCTCTCTCTCTCTTCTCTCTTCTCTCTTTTCTCTCTCTCTCTCTCTCTCTCTCTCTCTCTCTCTCTCTCTCTCTCTTTCTGTCCCCAATGATCTGTCGTGCGTTGCTATCGCCTTCGATATCATGTTTGCCGGTTTCAACGAGCTCCGAGTAAGCGGTCGAGAAGGCTCGGCCGCGATGAAGAGGCAAGCGCAGGCTCGACGACGCCAGCTTGCCCGCCTCTCTGCTGCTGCTCGAGGCGCGCTCCGTAGGGAGGGGACGGGTCGGCCTCTCATCTGAGTGCTGCTCCTCCTCCCCCTCCCCCTCCTCCTCTTCCTCCTCCTCTTCCGATCCTCCTCCTCCTCCTTTTTCCGATCCCCCCTCCCCCTCCTCCCCCCCCGCCTCCCCCGGGCCCGAAGTCCCACGAATTCGAATCGCGCCCTCCTGGCCCCCGTGGCGCGGGGAAGCCAGGCTCCCGCCGCGCCTCCCTTCTGGGCCTCGCGCGACGGCTGCCTGCTCAAGTCCATCCTCAAGGGCTCCCACGAGGGCGCGAAGTTATTCGCGCTTCGCGCTTCGCGGTCCTCGTTCCTTCTCCCCCCTCCTCCTCGTCCTCCTTTTCTCCCTTTGGGGGGGGCGGCGCGAGGGCGCGAAGTTATTCGCGCTTCGCGGAGCGCGAAGCGCGAAGTTGGGAGCCCTAGATCCTGGCCGCCACTCCGCCAGGTGGTCCGATCACCCAGGCCCCCCGCCACTCCGCACCCACGACCACAATTGGGGAGCCCTGGCGGCGACGGAACGGCAGCGCTTGCAGTTGGCCGTCGGCAGCGCGCTGCTGCAGGCGATGGCGCAGGTCATGCATGGCTGTACGTTCCGTCGCGGGCACTGCCGCCTGGATGGGGAACCCCACCTTGGCCCATTGCCAGCGCGAGGCGGTGAGCAGCTGGACGTGGGAGCCACTGTTGGCCTAGCAGGCGGCGCCGTGCACCACGACGACCGACTTCGACCAGTGCGAGCACGGAGGCGAGGTCGGGCGCGCGCTGACGCACATCGTCAGCCTCCGAGCGAGAGGCATGCATGCCCGTTTCACTGCTCCCACGGACGCGGAGCGCACCAGGTGCTTTCTGGCAAAACTGAGCCTGGGGGGAGCTTTGGGACCTCCGCCAAGAAGGTCCACCCCCCGGCCTCTGTAGGGCCATCACCGAGTCCCTCGTCGACACGATTGCGGATTTCGTTTCCTTGGAATTCGACGACGGATCCGATGGCCACGAATTTGGCCCTCAGGCGGCGGGTACTGAAGTTTCTTCCGTGGGGTCTGTCCAGGAGGGAGAACACGCGGCCCAGTGGGCCCCAGAGTCTCGCCGCACGGAGCGTCCCTCTCGACCCGATCCCGAGCGGGAGCGCTTCCGCCCCCCTCTGCCGCCTGCCCAGGGTCTGCTCAGGCGCCCGGCGGCCAGGCCCCCCAGGACGGACCCCGCCGAAGACCCCACCCAAGAGGACCAGCACATGAGCTCCGATGGGCTCACTTCCCCATCCTCACCAGGTCTTGTTATGCCTCCTCCCCTTCCTTCTCCCCCTCCTCTCCTCTCCAAGTCCCAACGCGAGCGAATACGAGCGAACCGAGCCGAAGCACCCAAGAGGAGGCACCATCAGAGGCCCCGGGGGTGGCCCAGCAAGGCTTTGGGTTCCTATTCTAACGCGCCCACTACCCTGAAGTGTGGGGCGAGAGCGCGGCCATCCTCACAAGTGAGTGGCCGAGACCCGTGCGCCCGCGGCGCACGGAGGCCAGTGCCGAGGCCGTCCACTGACTCACGTGTGTTCCCGCCTCCCCCATTCCTGCACCCCCATGGCCCGGACATCCCAGTATGCATTTTTATCCACGCGCGACCCCCTCCTTCCCCGGAGGTTGGCTTTCGCCTGTGATGCATTTTTGATTTCCCCGGGGGCTCGGCACCGAGCCCTGGAGGCCCGAAACGAGGAAAAGCGCTCGGATTGAAAGCGCGCGATTTGGGCCCCTTTGCCCCCCATACCCCCCTCCTTCCCTCCCCCTGCCCGTCCCCGCGATCTCCCCCCACCACCACCCGCGGAGCCTCCCGTCCCCACGTATAGGCCTCATTGATGGGGTCCGAATAGATGGGGTCGAAGGATCGCGCCACATCGCCGATGCATCGGCGGCGATGCAGCTCGATGCGGGGCCCGATTTTCTCCGTGCCGGTGTCGCCGATGCAACGCCGACGTCGCCGATGCATCGCCGACGCATCGTCAGTGCATCGCCGATGCCTTGGCGATTTGGCGCGATCTGCCGACCCCATGGAGGCCTCTACCACGGCTCTCCCCTCCCTCGCTCCTTCGCCTGTCCCCGCGCTCTCCCCCATACGCTCTCCCAGTGCCGGCGCCGCCGCGAAGGCGGAGCGCCAGCTCGCGAGAGCGGAGCGCCGGGCCCGGCAGGAGCTCCAGGACAGCAGGCCTCGCCCCGGGCCCCAGCCCTGCGCCCGGCTGCGATGATGATGATGATGATGATGATGATGATGATGATGATGATCATGATGATGATGATGATGATGATGATGATGATGATGATGATGATGATGATGAGGAGGAGGAGGAGGAGGACGAACGAACGACTCTGCAGAAGGGTGCCAGATGATCCTGCCGTAACGCGGGGAACTCCGAAGCCAAAATAATGTAAGCTCCGAACTGACTCGCTTCTAGAGGGCGCAGTGACTCAATATAGACTGGTCACGCGTGGCACTAGGTGCACTCTGCTCCCGCCCACCTTACCCCACCTCGGCTGGAGGGCCCCAAGCTTTAAAGGCAGGGCACGGCCGTGGGGACGTGGGACGAAAATCGAGGACGAAACTTCGAGGCTCAAACAGAAAAAGCAGAGCAGGGAGGCCCAGCATTATCAGTCAGATCCTCGCCTCTCGAATTTTGGATAAAAGTCAACTACGACTCAGGCAGGCCCGAGCGGCCCCAAGGGGGCCGCCGAAACACACAAAGCTAAAAAGTTACGGCCCTGGGGGAAGGCCTTCGCGCTTTCTGAGACCTAGAAGACCCAAGACTCTGGTGAGAGGGATCGGCGGAGGGGGAGGAGGAGGAGTCTGAAGATCGGGAGAGGCGGCAGCGACGGCGAGATTATTCGGCCTAATCGAAGTCATCGGACCAGGTGTAGCCGAACTCACTGAAGACGTGGTCGAGGTGAGAGGTCGAGTAGCTCTCTGGGAACGCGGAGATCTTGATCTCCCCTCCGTCGGAGCCGCCATCAGCGATGTAGTCAAGGTCAGGGAACGAGAAGAGGTGGCCCTCAACGGCGTGGTCAAAGTCGCCAACCGTCCAGTCGATAGCCTCTGTGATGTATGCTCCACTGCTACGTCGGACCCGCTAGGTCGGTACCCTCTGCTCTCTCGAGTCAGCTCGGAGAGTGAGCAGTGCGTGCCTGCGGGCCCTGTCTGCTCGGACCTGCAAGGTCGGTACCCTCTGCCTCCGAGCTGCGGCTCGGGAGGTGAGCAGTGCGTGCCTGCAGGCCCTTCTCCTCTCACTGCCTCCAGCAGCCTGGCCACTACTGCGCGTCGAGGTGAATCTGCAACAGCCTGGCGTTGTGGGAGCGTGGAGGCGCCCCGTGTTTGTGTACCCCACCGAGCTGCACCAGAGCGGCTACGACCGTGTCCTCTATGCCAGTCGCTTTGGCCTCGATCCAGATCTTGACTTTGTCCTGTGCGTGGGTCGTCTGCAGCCTGCAGTGCCGAACCTGGTCGGCCAGTTCGCCGTTGGAAATGGGTGCCGTTTTCATGCGATCCTGGTACTCTTTGATCTGCCTCGCGTTGGCCTGGCCCACCTTGTCTCCCTGTCCCACGAGAGCGCCCACCAGCGCGACCCACACGTGTGGATGAGGGATCCCCAACGCCTCGAGCTCGGGGACGGGGTCGCCGTTCTTGAGGGCGGCCTGGTTCGCCTCGCGAAGGCGCTTGGCCTCCTGCCCGTAGTACCGCGCCGTGAGCATCATCGATTGGGGCACGTCGTGGTTGGCAGGAAGCTGGACGTGACGGAAGATGGCCGACTCGAGGGCGTTGATCGCCTGTTCGTGCTTGAGGGACATGCGCATCAGGATGGGCATCATCTGCTGCACCTGCTCGATCGGGATGGGCGGAAGGTTCCTGACGTCGTCCTCTCTCAGCCCGTAGTGGTTGTCGGTAGCGCCCCACACGTCGATCTGCTGCTGCGGGGGCTGACCTGCTCCTGGAGTCGCGGCCGCGGAGCCAGCTCCGCGCTGCTGCGGAGGGGCTCCCCGAGCGCCTCGTCCTCGGCGGTCTCCACTCCGAGTCCGATCGCCTCGCCCACCTTCGAGATCGCGTCGCCTCTGTTCTGTCCCAGTGGCGAGAGCCCGCTCCGCCAGGCTCGACATCCAGCACAAGATCGGGGGCGGGCGGCGCGTGGGCTTCTCGGATGTGTGTTTGAAGTGCCTGCAGGGTCTGAAACGGCTCTTGAGCCAGTGTGGCCTCGGCCATTCCCTCTCTGAAAGCCTTGTGAGCAGACTCTGGATCCACGCAGATCGGACAGTGGAGGTCGTCGGGCACAACCAGGGGGGGTGAATACGCACTGAAATCTGTGAGGCAGCGGCGACGGCGAAGTGACTGTACCACGTGCCTCTTGGCCAGCACCACCGACGAGAAGGTAGAGGAGCAGTAGCAGCACTGGTTTGTCACCACAAGCTGGTGCATCGGGACCCTGATCTTGTGCGACGGGTGGTGGCACTGATGTGCTCTCAAGGCCGCTCTGGAGTAGAAGACGTGCCCACAGGGGTCCCCGTTCTCGCCTGGGAGGTCACAGTAGTATTCTTGAGGAGGGGCTTCAGGGACTGGTGGAACCTCTGGTGGAACCCTGTGCTGAGGAGGAGGCCGAAGGGGTCCTTCATGTTCCTGTTCCCAATAGGCCTTCCGAAAACCCTTGAGACTCACGCTCTTGAAGTGGCACGCGACACGGTAGTTCGTGAAGATGTCCCGAATCGAATAGCCTCTCTCCAGGAACTGGTGCCCAGTGGGGATGACCGAGAGGAGCTTGATATCCTGCTGGAGCTGGAGGGCCCACGGGTTAGCGCCAGACCGGATCCAACCGTCGGGGGTGAACGTCGGAGACTCGCCCAGCGAAGAAAAGTGCCCGAAGAGCGCCGCAACTACCTGAACCGAGTCTGCGGGGTTCACCGCAAGGCGCTGCCAGTAGCCGAGGCGCCTGATCAGGAGCTCAGTCCTCGAGTCAGCGATGCGCAACCACTTGTGCATGATTCTCGCCGAAGGTGTCCGAATCCTATCTCCCTCTGGCCCTACACTCTTGGCAACGCCCCTCATCGCCGCCTTCACGAATCCCAAGACCACCGAGTCAAGCTTGGCATAGTCTTTCTTACCTAGGATATAGACCTCGAGGCCCGAGTAGGCCGCGCTGTGGATAATTCCCTAGAAAGCCATCCTCTTAAGCTTCAAAGACGAGTGCAGGTTCCAGAACCTCCCGAGCTTGGTCCAGGCAGAGCGCGTAGCGTCGACACGTAATTTAACTTCAGCCCCCGAACCACCCGTCAAATGTTCAAGTCCTCCGAGGTAGACGGTTTCAGCTCGAGTTTGCCCTGGGAACTGGACGAGCCCTGAGAGCACGGCCCTCGTGGCCGTGTATCCTCCTGGGCCCGCAAAGACTGGGAGGATGATCTCCTTGTCTACATTCTGAGTAAACCCTCCTATCTCCTCGAGCTGATCTGACAAGATACGAGACGACAATTTTGCCCTCTCCACTGCGTGGACGGGGTTGCCATTCGGCAGCGGCAGGGTCTGCGATACGTCATCGGCGTAGTCGCGCATGGAGATGTCGATCTGCTCAGAGTGGATGGGCGAGTCAATCAGCGTCGCCGCCTCCACCATCGGCACGGAGCCGCCGCTCTCCGTCTCTAAGGTGGCTTGGGTGCCCTGCAAGAGGATCTGGTTCCACGCCTCCAGCGGCTTGACGAACGACCTCCCGAACAGCTCACACGCGTTGCCGTCGCCCATGCCCGAGCCGTGGGTGGGTTGGAAGAAGCCCTTCTCTTCGCCTGCCTCCACCTCGATGACCGCCTCACGATGCCTCTGGTGCAAGAAGAGTTGGTCCTGCATGTCGGGGATCACTTCCCCAATCACCTGCTCCAGGATGTCGTGATCTGTCGAAGGGAACGCGTTGCTCATATCTTTTTTGATCTGCAGATGGGAGACGAGCTTCTTTCGCAATCTCCACGAGTGAAGTTTGGCAACCAGCTGCGCGTTCTGCCTCGACCTGCGCGCTGCATATCCACGTGCGCGTAATGGAAGTCTTGAGCGCCCATGTCGAACAAATATGCCTCTGCACCAAGCTTTGCCGAACGGGCAGTAGCAGTGTATGAGTCTCGTCGCCTTGGTGCCCCTCTTGTCATTGCCCTTGCTCAACTGGAACGTTTTTGACCAGTGCCACTGGTAGGGTGTGCGACACGTATTCCGAATCTGCCTCAGGATCTCAAAGATGCGCTCAGCCAGTCGTGGACAAGGGACCTGAACTCGCTGCCTTCTCTCGTGAGGATCTTCATCAGCTGGTTCGCCCCGCGCTTCTCGAGTAGCAGCCCTCATCGCCATGAGCCACACCTCGCTGGGGGCGGAGTGCGGGGGGGACGCCTGGCCGCCTTCTCAAGACACTGCAGCGTGTTCGTCCAGTCGTCGTAGGCGGCCGACCCAGGTCGTCCTCGCAGTTCCTTCCACTCCCCATCTGGGTCCTCAAGCTCTCTCGAAGCCAGAGCCACGCTGCGAGGAATGCCTGGTCCGCGTAGACGAACAGCAGAGAAGCCCCCCTCCTTAGCGCCGGACTCCAGCGTGTCCTGCCACTCTTGCAACGTCGGGGCGTAAGTGGGGATCAGGTTGAACCGTCTTCTCCGCACTCCGTGATAGCGCGCCCCGATCTGAAAGGCGAGCTTCCAGACTGTGCTGGTATGTCCCCGGTCAGAGGCCACTTGTGCCTCCTTCAGCAGCGCCTCGACATTCTCTCTGTCCAGCCTGCGGCGTGCACGCTTGATCTCACGATCACATGCACGGAGTCTAAGTCGATCCTCTTCCTGAAAGTGAACACTGAGCTGACGCCTCATTGCCAGAAGTCGATCTCGCTCTTCTCGATATGCAGCAGACGGCCCCCTCGTCTTGTTCTCCAGGAATTCTGTCTGTGCTGCCTCTGTGACGTCCGCCACTAAGTGAAACCAAGAAAGTGAGGGGTCCTCTGCTCTAAGAAAACTTCGCCACGCTCTCGCCGAACTCTCGCACCGTCTCTCCAGCTCTGCGATGAACTCGGGGGCGCCTCGCAGGTTAAGAGCTTGTCCCATGAGGTCTCTGTCCCACCGAAGGCGCCGTCCGTCAGGATGAGGTGCAGTCTGCAGCCTGTAGTGTACTCGCCACAACATGGGGCAATGGTCTCGAAGTAAAGGTGAAGGTATACGTTGTAGGTCACGCATCGCTCGTCTAAGACACACACGATCTGGTCGCCTGCACCGCCTCGCACGGACCCCACAGATGGCCAGGATGCGATGTGATGTGAGCTTCGGCCCCGAAGTAAGTTGGCCCCGTGTCATAAAAGGTGTCTATCGCAGCCAAGCCTTCCATGCTCATCATGCGCCACAGAGCGGCACTCACCCCGTTCTCGTAGCTGTTCGCGAACGGGCCGACGTGCACGTCGTCTCGCGTCGTCGTCGGGGTGCCGTTGGGCCCACTGCGTCGTCCAAACTCGGAATTCGTATCAGCTCCTACCACAATCATGCAGCGCGCTCTGGCACGCTGTATCGTCCGATGAAGCCACGCCGTGAGCTTGGCGCAGGTCGTGTTCCAGTGGTCAATCTGGTGCCTCTGCGGGGGCGGGTAGTAGGCCACCACCACCATTATGTCGAAGGTCGGACTCTTGAGTCGAACTGCCCCTCCCCGCCCCGCCAGTTCTCGAGGAGGCTCTAATACTTCATGAACGTGGGCCTCTCTAAAGGCCCTTCGTCGCAGCATGATCGCGCAGCCCGCGCTCTTATTTGTGTACCTCCCCCGCTGCCACCCGAACTGCACCATCATGTGCTTCTCAAGCTTCATCCTTGTCGGGTGGTCTCCTGCGCGGCGCCGCTGCTGAGTCCCTGGCAACAGAATCAGATCTGCGAAGCTCAAGCGAGAAGAAACGTCGTGTGCCCGCCATGTGTCGCTAAGAGAGAGTGGAGTATAGAGTACTGTTTGTAGGAGGGAGGCCCACATGGTGGGCGGGAGCTGGGGCTGCAGGCGGAAGGGGTGTAGCCTGCATCAAGTCCTGACAGGGAGCCCCAATTCCCCCTGGTCTGAGCAGGAGAGGCTTATGATGAGGAGGAGGAGGAGGAGGAGGATGTTGATGGTAATGATGATGATGATGATGATGATGATGATGATGATGATGATGCTGATGCTGATGCTGATGATGATGATGATGATGATGATGCTGATGCTGATGCTGATGCTGATGATGATGATGACGACGATGATGATGATGATGATGCTGATGATGATGCAGATCTCGATGCTGGTGATGATGGTGGTGGTGGCGATGACGATGGTGGTGGTGATGATGATGTTGACGATGATCATGATGATGATGATGATGATGATGATGATGATGATGGTGATGATGCTGGTGATAATGATGATGATGATGCTGATGATGATGATGATGGTGATGGTGATGGTGACGATGCTGATGCCGATGCTGATGCTCATGATGATGCTGATCATGATGCTGATGATGATGATGGTGGTGGTGGCGATGATGAGGGTGGTGGCGATGATGATGACGACGATGATACTGATGATGATGACATTACGATGATGATGGCATTACGATGATGGTGGTGATGATGATGTTACGAGAAAGAGGAGGAGGAGGACGAGGAGGAGGAGGAGGAGGAGGAGGAGGGGGGGCGGAGGAAGAGGAGGAGGAGGAGGAGGAGGAGCAGGAGGAGGAAAGGGCACAAGCAGAAAGTGTTTAAGACCCGCACGGGTTTCGTGTGTTTGCGCTAGACCCCCTTCCCCCGGCGCGCGAGAAGCTGTGCTGGTGGCGCCGCTAGGGGAGGTCCAGCGCCGACCCAAGAAATCCACGCGGACTTCCGAAAGTTTATGTTTATGCCAGCGTGTCCTCCTCCCCAGGAGGAAGAAGCAGGCGACGCCAGCAGAGTGTCCCCAGCAGCACGTAGGCCACGCAGAGGCCTGACGAGCACACACCTGGGTTCGTATGCAAGGTGCCGCCAGCAGACTAAGCCGCCCAAGAGCTACTTGGGGCGCTCAGGGGATGTCTCTGGGCCTTCCTGGAGACAAATGACAAAACGACGTGCAAACCCACCGCGCCTCCCCGACCAGGCCTCTGGGCCCGCGGGAAAGGCTCTTGATATCCTGCCTCGGACGTGGGCGGATGGAGAATCGACCAGAGGCGCCGAATTACCGAGTCTCTCCCCCACCACAAGCCAAAGTCCAGGACGATAAGGAGGAGGAGGAGGAGGAAGAGCAGAAGGAGTTGGAGGAACGAGGGGAAAAGGGGCTGCGGGACGATTGGAAGCGAGGGGCAATGGGAGGTGGCGGGACGACAGGGAGGAGAAGGAAGGACGAATGAGGAGGAGGGGGATGGCGAGGGGAGGCAAGGGAGCGGGAGGAGGAGGAGGAGGAGGAGGAGGAGGAGGAGGAAGGAAAGGAGGAGGAAGGAGATGTTGATAAAGAAAAGGGGCCAGAACAAGTGGCATCCAACCGCAGAGACAGCGAGAGAGAGAGAGAGAAAGAACGGGAACGCCGACGTGAGCGGGAATGTGAACGCGCACGCGCGCGCGCGCGTTCGAGTGATCACGAGGAGGAGGACGACGGGGAGCGGGGAGCGAGTGAGGACGACGAGGTCCAGGGCCCGCCCCTCTGCCTCCCGACCACCGAGCACCCCGCAAGCCCCGCGCTTGCCGCCAGGGTCCGGGACGAGAAGTGGGACGACCACCCGGCCAGACGAGGCGGGGCCCGGACGGCAGTCACGCCCTAGCGGATCATCGCTCCTCCTTCTCCTCCCTCTTCTGGACTCGGCTCCTCCAAGGCGCATTCTCCGATCCTCGCCTCCTAGAAACTGCCTCATTCCTCTAGCCTCCTTGCGGCTCCTCCTCCCTCCTTACTCCCCTAACCCTCCTTATTTCCTCCTTAAACAGCTCAATTGTATATGTATTTGATGTAGTAGCTATTCCTCTTCTCTCCTCCTCCTCTCCTCTCCTCCTCCCCCTCGCCGCTTCGTAATCGGTCGTCATCGTCCTCTCCGTATCCTCCTCGCGAGCGGCCTCCCTTGCACGTGAGTCGGGAGGTCTCCCTGCGTGGGGGCGGAGGGCGGCCCGTTTTGCGATGAGGCAGCAGTCTCGTGTGAGGCAGTCCTGTCGCGCGGGTTCGCTTCTCAGTTGCCCATGGCTCCATGGCTCCTCCACATCCTCAACCTTCACGTCGTCATTCTGCGTCGCCTCTGCACCCTGTAAGGATTAAGATCGAGGGGGTGACAAAGAAATGAAGGCGGTGGCTGTCGGGCGGTGCCCTCCTCCACAACATTCGTCAAGTTTGCAACCCCTGCCCTGAAGGGCCAAGTGTTGGCACAAAGGTGGCCTTCAAGCTGCGGGAGTCTGCCGGATCCCCGCAGCCGCTTTGGGGCCTTGAGAATTTTGCCGCAGAGTTCCACCAGACGTCGTGGTTTGCCAGAGCAGCACGACCCGCACCTCTTCGAACAACAAACACACATCAAGCAAACCAAGCAACCGCAGTTCAATTACTCACCAGCGTAAGCCCCAAACAGTTTGTTTCTGTATGTATTGTGGACGCGGCAGCTATGTGTACAATCCACGCGTGGCAATCTCCGTTGTGCAAGCTATGTGGTGCAAGCTGTGTGGTGCAAGCTAGGTGGTGTAAGCTGAAACCTATGTGGCGCAAACAATGTGGTACCTTGCAAGTGGTGCAAGCTATGTGGTGCAAGCCATGTGGTGCAATCTACGCGTTGCAAGCAGCGCGGTGTAAGCTATGTGGTGAAAGCTACGTGGTGCAAGCTACGTTGTGCAATCTATGTGGTACAAGCTATGTGGTGAAGCGACGTGGTGCAATGTACGTGGCGTACTATATGTGGTGCAATCTATGTGGTACAAGCTATGTGGTGAAGCGACGTGGTGCAATGTACGTGGCGTACTATATGTGGTGCAAGTTAAATTGCGCAAGCTGCGTGGAGCACGCCATGTCGTGCAATCTACGTGGTGCAAAATCCGTGGTGACAGCTATGTGGAGCAAGCTATGTGGTACAGGTTGTGTGCTAAGCTACGTGGTGCAAGCTGTGTGGTGCAAGCGATCGAGGCGCGTTCGCGAAGCGCCCACGGGCGGGCACCAAGCGAGGCCTCGTTACCCCCTTGCCGAGGGGCGCCCACGAGGCGCCCACGTGGCGCCCACGGGCGGGCACCCGCCGAAATACCAGCATACCCCCAGAGCGGGGCGCCCACGAGGCGCCCACGTGGCGCCCACGGGCGGGCACCCGCCGAAATACCAGGCGGGCACCCGCCGAAATACCAGCATACCCCCCCCCCCGTGCGGGGCGCCCACGAGGGCGCCCACGAGCGAGCATCAGCCGAAACCCCGACCCACCCCTTAAGCGCAGGGCGCCTACGAGGCGCCCGCGGGCGCCCACCCACCGGGCACACGCCGAGACAGGTAGTCAAAGCACGAGCCCGTCAGTGCAAGCACTGTCTGGGGGAGACGGCGCAGGCGGGAGGCAGGGGCCGGCGGGGCGGGCCGGCAGGCGGAAGGGGGGCCGGGCAGAGACAGCAGGCAGGGAGCAGGAGGAAAGGGAAGGAGGCAAGGAAGAGGAGGAGAGGGGAATCAGCCGCAAGCAGATAAGGCAGGGAGCACAAGGAAAGGGAAGAGGAGGGGGAAGAAGACGGGGCCGAGGGGAGGGGAAGCAACCGCAAGCAGACAGGCCGGGCCAGGGGCCAGGAGAGAATAGCCACCCGCGACGAAACTACGGACCTTACGAAGCGAGCCCTGTCTCCAGGGACCTCGAGGCCTTGAGGGCGTGGGGCTTGCCAGGCCCCGTCCGCGGGGAAACCAGGGCCAACAGACTAGGAGTTGATTGACCACGCGAGCTGCTGCTGCCCGGAGGCCTGGTGAAGGTCCCAGCAGAGGCTGCGCGTTGCCACCTAGAGCGATTCCAGAAATATTCGAGGAGGGTCCCAGGGCTCAAAAGTTTGGGTGTGTGAGCTCTGGCCGTCGTGGTCATGTCCTACAAGTGCTCCTTGGAACCCGTGGTTAGGAGATCAGTTTCGGCAGCCTTTGTCCTGGCGTAGGCTGCAGGGGCCGTGTCGCCGTTGTTGCGACACGGGGGACTCTTCCCCTTCATGAGAACCGCGGCCATCTGGCTGCCACGATGTTCTAATATGGGGGGGCCTGCATCGGATCTCGCAGCGCTGCAATGTGTTCGCCAGGGCCTGGTGCTTGAGGCAGAATTCCTGGACCAAGTCCGAGCATAAGTTTCGTGGGCTGTCCATCGGAGGCCGTGGCCACTGCCAGCCGGCCTGCTCGGGACCCCCCTAACGACGAAAACGTGGGCCCAAGCATGTCCCGGGCCCCATCAAAGAACATGATCGTCCAATCCGAACTCCTCCTCATCATCATCCTCCTCATCATCATCCTCATCATCCTCCTCATCAAAGAACATTTCCTCCGTCCCAGGTCCCATCAAAGAACATGAGAACGTCCAATCCGAAGTTGAACTCACCCGAGGACCCCGAAGCATCCAGGAACCCCAAGGTCTCCTCAAAGAACTATGGGGCTCGCGGGGCAGGGATGGGCATCCAGAGTTTGGTGAATAAGGGGTCCCCAGCTCCTGCCTCCTTTGGAGCCTTGTTTTAAGCCTTTTCCTCCTCCTCCTCCTCCTCCTCCTCCGCCTCCTCCTCCTCTTTTTCCTCCTCCTCCTCCTCCTGCTTCTTCTATTCTCTGTGAGCAAGCTCCTGCTGTCTCCGCAGCTTCTCTGCCCAAGTGCCCCCCCGTCGGCCGCGCGTGCGGACGCCTTATGCAGGCGGTCGCACAAGCGGCTCTCGGGGGCGCTGGGGAGATCTTCTTCAGGGGGCTGCGGGCCGCGCTCTACGAGCGGCTCGTGTCTGCCCCCCTCTCTGTGCTTCAGGACCAAGGGCCTCCTGCGCCTGCCTGGTCCATCCAGCAGGCGGACTCGTCCGAAGGTGAGGGGGCTTACTGCCCCCTCCCTTCGGCGGGTTCCGCCTGCCCCACCGTCTGCCTCGGGCTGGCGGTGGATCTGAGCGGCGGGGTCTCTCCCTGGCTGCTCAGCACGGTCGTCGCCCTCCTTTGGGTGACGGCCGCGTGCAGCGCCTGCGCAGGCTGCTGCTTCGGGCTGCTGGGCCCGTACGTGTGGCGGAGGCTCAGGGCCTCCGCCTGGCCGCGCGGTGCGGTTCCTGCTTCCCCTGAGCAGGACCGCCGTGCGGCGCGAGCGCTGGCTTACGGGGTTCCGCCTCGGCCTCGAGCGCTCGAGCGGGCAGGCGCCCAGCATTCGGGCGGCAGTTCCCACGACAGCGCCCATTGATGGCTGAGCTGCCACCAGTTGGCGGAGGGCCTCTATGGCCCGAGCTCTACCCATTCGCGGCTCCCACGGCTCGCGATTACGCACGATGGCGCCTAGACGACGGCGACACCAGCTGGGCAGCTATCCCCCTCGCGTCTCGAGAAGGGGGCATCCTTCTGGCCCTGCCTGGCGCCTTTCGCTCTACGGCGGAGCTCGTGGCTGCCGAGGCGGATGGCTTTGCAGGAATGATAGGCCCTTTCCAGCTAGTGGACGTCCAGCTCCAGGGGGCCGCTTCACGGCCGCTCGCCACTACTGCATCCGTCCTCGTCGTAGACATCGAGGTTGCAGAGCTCGAGCTCGAGTCGCTTTACCCTCTAGAGGTCGGGGAGGACGCAGTCATCGTTCCCTTCGCCGAGGTGCGGGGCCGCGTCTATTGGCCACATCCTTCGGGGGTTCGGGTGCTTCGCGAGGGCTACGCACGCTTGCACGGCGCCCCGCCTACTGCAGGAGAAGAGCCGCTCCCAGGGGCCGATCGGGCTACTCCCTATCACTCTGCCGACGAGATGGAGGAACCCGAGGGGTTCGCGGCCGACGGGGAAGCCGACCGCACGGCCCCAAGTGCGCGATCTCCCGCGGACGCTGGAGCGCCGCGCGGCCCGCCCGCGAAGCGCGCGGGCACCGCCGCGCCGCCACGGGTTGCGGGTCCCGCTCCGATCGCTCCTGGTGCCCCTGCGGCGTCTCTGGACGACGGGGCTCCTATGACCCGTGCCGAAGTAGCTGCCGAAATGCGCGCCTTGCTTGCAGCCCACGCGGCCTCCACGATGGTCGGCAGACCCGAGCCGCTGGGCCCCGCGCCGGCTGCCCGGAGCGATCGGCCCGAGGTGCCTCAGCTTTTCAGCGACGAAGCGGTGCGCCTCGGGCTGGATCCTGCGGGGATCGAGGCCGTCCTGTCTCACGCGCCCGTGGCCCCACAGCGGGTCTCCGCGCGTCCCAAGGGTCCGACCTCCGCGCTGGTCTCGGCGTGGGAAAAGGCGCGCTCTCTTGCTGTCCCTCGGGCCCCTTCGTCCGGTTTCGGAGCGATGGGCCCCCCGCCGCCACCTGGGCTAGCCCATCCCGCTGCGGCCGACGGCTTTGCCGAGGCGGGCGGCGCCGACGGGTCAGAGCCGCCCCATGCGGCCAATCCGACGGACTTCAGCCTCATGCTACAGTGCCTGCACCAGTCCCTCCTATTGCAGCAGGGGCGGGGCCATCGCCCAACCGTCCATCCGCTTCTGGGGACCCTGAGCGACTCAGCTCAAATTCCGCCCACGAGCTCGGGCGACCCCGCGCCCGCATCGGCCCAGATGGGGGGCATTGCTCGGAGGCGCGAGTGGCAGCAAGCGCTGCTACAGCACGGCCCCGATGTGCGAGGACTGATGAAGGAGAATT